AGGCGAAGTCCTCCCCGGGTACTCCTCCATGGCCCTGGAGAAAAATAGAATGTACATGTCTATTTACAGTTGCTAAGAATTAGCAACAAAATTCACAACAAGTGTGAAGAATTAGCAAACTAGTATACTAGTATTCTAATTTTTACATAATTGAAGGCATTTGATAATCAAGAAAACTTGAGTATACTAGTATTCTAATTTTTAGATAATGAATCATAAAACAAAATAAGTGATTTACCACTAGAATGACAGTTTGCTACCAGGCTACATGTATAACTTATAGATTATTTGCCAAACCTGTTTATGTAACAGTTACTTACAGCTACCAGCACTGTACCTGTATGCTTGCCCTCCCCTTCGCCCTTCACATGACAGGCAGAATGTTATTCAAAGTGCATATTGTGAAAATTTCATAGTGTATTCGAAATATTCGGGCCCATTTGATTCTAATCTGAATGTGATCAGAGCTGTTTTCAATGCTGTTAGAATGCAGTACATGTAAGAATCTCAATGCCACCTGTTTGAGAACTGTTTGTGTTTCTGGATATTCTTAAAATTATCACTGGATTCAAAATTTTTACATTTATGCTCATTCTTACATGTATGCCCAGCCTGACTGAGTGGAGACTGGATACAAGGCTATATTGAACAGTGAATTTTAACTGTAGCAGTATTAATCCATTTGAAATATCAGCGCCTTACCTGGTACCGAGATAGAAGGGCAGTACAAATATTTCCTGTTCGGTGCACAATTCACCTGCATCAAACCTGCACTCACTGGTACTACTAGTAGTTTTATATAAAAGTGTAGGCATATGTGGATTTTTATTTGCTGCATTGACTTTCACATTGTATTACTTTTAAGTTCAAAAGAAATCCTGGCAATGATTTCCAGTTTTCTGTGTAATCTACATAATTCCTATGTTCTGGGTGACAGTGAGTGGTACAGGTAAAATGTGTCTGGTACAGGTAATTTTCAAAGTTAATGTAACTTACTGGGGCAAAGAAAACTACTAGAAGCCCAGTTTAAGTCCCTTGTACATCAGCATGTGAAGCGGTTCCATTGGGACTCCTTCTGGTTCCCCAGTATTGCATGCTGCGACTCTTAATCCTACCCGCTGCCATTTCCTCTGCTTCGGCGTACTACAATACAATACAAAAATTGACAGAAACAAATATACATATGTCATATGTCAAATATACATATGCGCATGGTAAATACATGTAGATACGTATCAATTTACACATCATGACATTTCAGTAACTCCAAAACTACCTTTATCAGGGTCAGTTACTGATACATCAGCCTGGTAAGTGCCATACATATAATAGGTTGTAGATCTTTTTTAAAACATCCACAATGCTTTTTCTTGCTTTGATTGATGAACTCTTGAATACAGTGAATTGTGTTTCAATGTATTAGTATATTACAGTAAAAAAAAAGTGCTTTCCCTTTTTGTAGGCTAATAGTATAACTTTGGATAACACCACAACACAGTACCAATTTGATGAGGATAGTTATGGAAGTAAAATATGCCTGATGGGGGATGATAATGAGTGGTGAGAAATGACTTTATCCTTTCCCTTTAATTAATAACTAGGGAGTGACATTTTAACTCTGTTTAGCATAAACAGAATGAGGGTCAAAGAAACATGAAATAAAATGCAACTCATGAATCTGTTTTATGACAAAATACATGAATTTTGAATTTAAAAAAACATTAAATGTTCTATTTTCTATTTAGATACATGTGTATAGGGAAATAGTAACCCGTAATCAAACTAATGCTGTCTTAGTGACATGTATGGTCAATGATGTAATGTCCTTCATAATATGATACCAAGCTCCTTGATAATACTACATCTAGTCAAGTTACAGTGTAACGTATATATTATACATGTACTAGTAGTTTGATGCTGCCCAATACTATCCAAGCAGAGGTTTGGGTTTTGGGGGTATTTTTAGCGTGTTTTCAAACTTTGGTGGGAAAAAAAAATTCAGTGCAAAAGAGAAACCCCGATAAAAAAGCCTAAAAACACGCTAGAAATACCCCCAAAACCCAAACCTCTGCTTGGAGAGTAGCTGCCCAACCCCATTCTGGAATGGAATCACCCGGGCGCGCGTACATTTGAATGCCGCCCCCACCCCCAATACACATTCAGACACACACCTACGTATACGTATATACCATTACCAAATCAAATGTATTACATAGGCAGTTGATATTTGACTACTGAAATCTTCTTTTGGCTGCTAGCCACATATCCAAACATATTCACTGGCCATTTGCGAAGAAGAGAAAACAGTCCAGTCGTGCCTCAACGCAACGCGGATTTAGCACTTAAACAACAAGGACTGAGAGTCCAGTGAGCTAGTGACTAACCTGCAGAATATGTAGCCTATAAATGGTCCAGGAATTGGTCCAGGTCAGAGTAGAGATGAAGAGAAAATATAAATCGCCAGGCCGTCCCGTCTGTCGTCCATTTCAGCCAAGCCGGCAACCAACCGCAAGTCTAGTCTCGCATTATCTCGCGACGGATTTTACAACTCTCGCGAGGACTACACCCGACCGTTTATTTTCTATAGTAAAGCAGTGAGGTTACTAATAACGGTCACATCCTAGGAGGTGAAGAGAGCCTCTTAGCTTATTAGTTACTATATAACGGTGGTCACCGTTAGTAAGTAGTTACTATATATGGTATGTGTATCGGCTGGTTCTGCGTAAATACACCATTATTTTACTTCCACCAGACTGACCTGTAATGTTAAGAGAAAGCAGTATGTACCATTTTTAAAGTCTTACTAATAGGTATGACACTGCTGAGGATCAAACCCACGACCTACCGAATACAAGGTCAGCACTCCGCCCACTTTGCACCGACTGGTACGGTAATGTGCACCACGTAAATATAAATTCTGAAGACCTGATGGCCTTGCGGTCATTGCACCTTTACCCTGGTGTTCATACGGTCATTGTTCATACGGTGTTCATACGGTCAGGGACATTGTTTGAAAAGTCGCTTGGCTAAATAATGTATATATGCATCGCTGCACATGAATAGTTGGTTACTACCACCCAGTCATCAAACCATGGTCTAAAGTAGGTGTGTTATTTACCGTGTAGCCTCTACCAAGATGGCTGGTTGGTATACTAGCTCCCGATGTCTCCAAACCCATCTGCTCTTCTCAGCAGTGATTGTGGCTTTTACACGTGGATCAGGTAAGGCTTGTTATTTACTGAAATTATACGTTACTGGTTCACTGTGTGTACTGTTACAAGTGAGGTGCTACCAGTTCACTGTGCACTAAAGCTGTGCGTTACTGGACCACTGTGTACTGAAGCTATGTGTTACTGGTCCACTGTATACTCTATTTCAGGGCCTACTGCTTCACATGTGTACTGAAGCTAGGTGTTACTCTGTATCAGCGTGTACTTATTTAAAAGTTACACTGTGTACTGAAGTTAAAAAAGGCTTGCTCTGCATATGTAGTAAATATAGAATACTACACGGTGTATTCTGTATCGCCCGACGTACCAGTCTGACCGTGACTCGGCTCGCCCAACGGCGGAAGGCCGAAGATTTAGACGGAACTAATTTTCAACATAAGGCGTACAGTTTTGTCCATACTAGCATGGTAGCTTACGTGGCTGCTCCTTATGGTTGGTTTATTAACGTACGCACATATTTTTTTACGTGTGTGTGTAGGGGGGGTGGGGGGTGGCTCTACTATTTGAAATTCTTTTCCGAGCCACTGTCTTTGTCTAATTGTGGTGACTAACTTCCATGCTTCCAACCTACGCTGCATGCCCATGCAAGTGTTCCCTATTTTAGCACTGATACAGAGGGATCATTATAAAATTCAGGATAACAATGTTCTCCAAGCACACGTGAATTCCTGACTGGTGAGAAGTGTGTGAAAACAACATGTTGCAGTTAAAAATCCAATCTTCACACAGGTAAGGTGGCAATGTCAACACTTTAAGTCTTTTTTTACTGTGTACATAACATCTCTTAACAATAGATGTGGTTATCAAATGATGTTGGCCTGTATCCAGGTTTGTTTAGTCTTGGTCCTTATATTAGCAGTCCTGTTTAGCCTTGGTCTTTATTTAAACAGAGTAAAAACCTCAGTGCTTTTAAAACCACTGCTTTTCAAGAATGCCCTGTAACAAAAAGTTACACATGAAAAAATATGACATCGTCACATTAACTATACATAACGTTACAAAATAATCAAGCGTCAAAACAAAATCGCTTTCCGTAAATCAATGTCGTTAAGCCAGCCTAAGGTTAGGAGGTCAGAGATCAGCAGTGTTGCTTTAGAAGCTCTCTAAACAAAGGGTTGAAGGAGGTGCATTGCTAACCGACGGGCCTGTAATGTTTTAATAGTCGCTTTATTTTGATTGCTTTTAATGTACTTTTTAAGTGTACTTTTTCAACGATCATGTGTATTGAAACACGCAGTTCAGCCTATGGCTTTTATGTGTTTGATAGAAATTAAACTTTTAATATTATTTCATATGGTTTTCCAGACGTGCACTACGTACATATACATTCTGCCGACCGTACCTGCTGGCCTTGCGGTAATTGCACCTTTACCCTGGTGTTCATACGGCCAGGGACATTGTTTTGAACCGTCGCTTGGCTAAATAATGTATGCATCTCCGCACATGAATAGTTGGTTATTTATACGTCAAACCATGGCCTGAAGCAGGCGTGTTATTTACCGTGTAACCTCTACCAAGATGGCTGGTTGGTATACTAGCTCCCGATGTCTCCATGCTTTCCTGCTATTCTCAGCAGTGATTGTGGCTTTTACACGTGGATCAGGTAAGGCTTGTTATGTACTGAATCTATACGTTACTGGTTCACTGTGTGTACTGTTACAGGTGAGGTGCTACCAGGTCACTGTGCACGCACTGAAGCTATGCGTTACATGGTTCACTGTGTACTGGAGCTATGTGTTACTGGTCCACTGTATACTCTATGTCCTACCGGTTCACAAGTATGCTGAGGCTAGGTGTTACCGATTCACTGTGTACTGGAGTTAAAAAAAAAATGCTTGTTATGCATATGTAGTAAATGTAATAAATATACAATACTACACGGTGTATTCCGTACTGCCCGAGGTACTAGCCCGACCGCGGGTCGGATCGCCCAACGGCGGAAGGCCGAAGATTTAGACGAAAATAACTTACGACATGAGACGGTCGGTTTTACCATACACGTATGGGAGTTTGATGTGACTGCTCCCTATGTTTGGTTTAGTAACTAACGCACACATTTCGGGTGTGGGGTGTGGTGGGGGTGGCGGCTGTCCCTCTATTTGAAGCCTTTTTCCGGCTGACTTTCAAACCTTCAACCTATGGCCGCATGTCCATGCAAATGTTCCCCATTTTAACACTGATGCAGATGGACTATTCTAGAACGATGTTCGTCAAGCAGTGTTCGAATTTACGTGTTAGGACACGTAAATTCTTGACTAATGATTTTAAAGAAATGAGTGAAAAGAAAACGTCGTAGTTAAAAATACAATCTTCGACATAGAGGTAAGGTGACAATGTCAACACTTTGAGTCTCTGTAAACTGTGTACATATTAACGCTAAACAATAGCTGATCAATTGCTGTTGCCTTGTATACGCGTTTTCTTTAGGCTTGGTCCTTAGCCCCCAGAAGCCCTGTTTAGCCTCGGTCCCCAGAAGCCCTGTTTAGCCTCGGTCCCCAGAAGCCCTGTTTAGCCTTGTTCGTTAGCATTCCTGTTTAGCCTTGGTCCTTAATTAGCAGTCCAGGTAATCCTCGTTTCTTAGCTGTCCTGCTTAGCTTTGGTAATCAGCAGTTCTGCTAAGCCTTGGTCCTTAGCAGTCCTGTTTTAGGCTAGGCTTCGTGGAACGTGCCTTAGGTCGTTCAGGTGACGGACAAAGGTCGCGTTGTTTGCTGAGCAACACGTTCTTGACAAGATGGCCGCTTGCTATTGTCGCCGAGGTCTCCGAGCGCTTTGGGCTTTCTTAGCGGTAACTGTGGGGCTTAAAGGAGGATCGGGAGTGTTAGGTTTGTATATTTGGAACGGACGTTCATCTGTAGTATTTGTTTTGACACATATTTAAGACAAATTTTACCTCTTTCAAATTTGCAGTATTTTTTACAAGCAGTAAGATAACCGGGGCTCGCGACACACCGATCGTACCTTTTATGACTTAATAAAAAATTATATTTGTCCCCCATCTTTAAACCTAGCTTAAGACTCTGAAGACTGTTCCTGTACATGTATGTAACCTGTTGGGTGAATACCGGGTTTGAATCACGGCCGTTTCCTAGACTACCAAAGGGCGTTTGACCAAAGGCTATACAGAATATTGACCTTTGATCAGTCCACAGAATAAAATGGTAATAGAAAAAAGTTTATTGCAAAGAAACGTGCAAATTATGATTTATAATTGCTCATTTGCTTGTGTTATTAACATTTTACAATACTTTGTTTGCATTAGATGCCGCTGTTGTCTCCACAACCTATGGTGACGTCAGAGGGTCAGAGTTCATGACCTCTGGTGTTGTCGGAAATGCCGTCGTTGACCGAGTTTTCACCTTCAAGGGGATTCCTTATGCTGCCCCACCTGTAGGAGACCTCAGGTAGTGGTTTTAAGGAAAAAGGGCAATATTTGCCATGAAAATGCAATTGAATACTCTGATGGTCTAGTCTAACTAAGAGGTAAATAAATAGTGAGAAGACAGAAAAAGATTATCGAATGAAATTTTCTTAAGATGATATGTTGGTTTAAAGATAAGACGATTTTGATCGATGATTAGATGCATGAATGAATGGGTAACACGACTTGCAGGTTCTGTTATTATGGGTTCACCACACCACGAAGTGGTGTGGTGAAACCATATTGCTTTTTCTGATGTTTCTTCTTCTCCTCCTTCTTCTTCTCCTGCCATTTTTTAAATGGATTCAGCTTCTTCATTTTAGCGCCCAAGGTCCTGAAATTTGGTATGGAGGTACAGTGGGCAAATACCCCTAGGCGTTTTTTAAATTATTGTGATACAGGCTTTTAGAATGATTTTATTTGAGTTTTTTGGCTGTGTTATAGCAAATGTATTACTGTGTTAGTTTGCCTTGTTTACCACGTTTGGGCATGAGTCATCACAATGGAATGCAGGGCATCAACCAATAGGCATGCAGCTTTCCTCTATACTTCTTGCTGATTGGCTGTTGGGATTTAACTTGATTAACACCTGCACAGAAGCATTTCCATACTGACAGTATGTCTGTATTCAAGTGTTTTGGTAGGTATTTCAAGCTTTCCTGCTCCAGCATTGGAATGCCGGGCATGGACGTTTTTTTTTTATTTTGAAAATCAACAGTTTGCATTATGCAATTAAAAATCCTAACCAATAAAGTAGGGAATAGCTATCCAACTGTTGTTTTAGTTGTATTTTACTTCATATTATAGTTATATAAATCATTGTTTTCCCTTGTGTTTCCCATTCTTTCCCTGCCATGTCGTAAAATGTGGTGAACCCATCGCTGTATTTGCTCCAAAGCAAATATTGGCCTTTCTAGTTCCAACTATCTTTGCTAGGTGGCGCCCTCCCGAGGACCCTGTCAGCTGGACATCCGAACGTGACGCCACCGAGTTTGGGCCGGTTTGCCCCCAGAATCCCGGAGAGGGGCCGGAACCGTACCCCATCTTCCAGGAATTCGTTGCTCGCAGTAACTCAACCAGCGAGGACTGTCTGTTCCTGAACGTGTACACCCCAAGCGTTTCCGACAACGCCAACCTACCTGTGAGTACCGTCGAACACTTTAATACAGTATAAGAAGTCATGAACATGTTTTTGCAGTTAGTTGGAAAAGTCATGGATAGAATGGCGGATAAATTGGAGATTGGGTTGATGGTTGAATGGGTGAGTCGATGGTTGGATGGATGGGTGGACTAATGGATGAATGGATGAATGGATGGATGGGTGGGTGGATGGATGGATGGATGGATAGGTGGGTGGATGGATGGATGGATGGATGGATGGATGGATGGATGGATGGATGGATGGATGGATGGATGGATGGGTGCGTCGAAGGATGGATCGGGAATATCGTCAATCAATATGCTTCATAACAGACAGACATATCGGACAGTCTTTCAGAAACATACAGTTCTATAGCGTGGTAGCGTGCGTAGTCCAGTGGTTAGCGATCCTGCCTCTGGACTAAGAGGTTGGGAGTTCGAATCCCGGCTGATGTCGCTCACCCGACATGCACGCTACTGTTTAGGGTCGCAGTCCTTAGGACGGGACGTTAAGCCGTGGTCCACTGTTCATTGTGCTTGTCGAAAAGAGCTAGGGGAATTTCCCCGGTACAATGAACCTGTAAATACTGTACATAGCGTCTGTCTTCTCTGTCACGACCAGTGGAAGATTAGCTCTTCAATGAGCTAAACTGGTTCGAGATCACTTTCACTTTATCTATTTCAGGTGATGGTGTGGCTACACGGCGGGGGTATGGTCCGTGGCTCTGGCGACGAGTACCCAGCCGAGATCCCCACGTCACTCCATAACGTCGTCATGGTAACCATCAACTTCCGGCTGGGTAACCTGGGCTTCCTGCCAACTCTGGACAACGACGCACCGGGAAACTTCGGTCCTCTAGACGCGGTACGATCTTTTTTTTTTCTTGCTTAAAAGCACCAAAGAGATTTCAGGATATGCTTGCATTTCTAGAGTGAGCCTATAGGGAGTCATTATAGGCGGTACCCGTATTGTAAATTCCGACGCATATTGTAAATTCCGACGCATGTTTTGCGGGGTCATTTTGATGGTTGGGAATCGGTTAGATTCAATATGGCTACCACGAAGATGCAATGTGGGATGGAAGGTCAAAGGTCAGCAAAAGATTATGGCATGAATGGAAATAGTGATACGTCATGCTACTAATCTTCTTTAGTATCTGTTATTCTGTCATCAGATTTTTTATTTCATACCAATGATACACAGCAGGAGAAAAAAACACTGTAAAGGATGTTCAATGACTCTTCTTCCTACGGAAACTCAAACACTTCAATCTTCCCACCGGTGACCTCGTCACTATATACACGTCCTTTGTACGGCCAGTATTGGAATACTGCGCGCCAGTTTGGCACCCGGGGCTCACTTGTGCACAGTCGGACAAACTCGAAGCTGTACAACGGAGAGCAGTTCGGACAATACTGGGAAGGCGTTTCACTAGCTACGAGCAAGGCAGGACAGACTTAAACCTTCCGTTGCTCTCAGACCGCCGGCAGAAGCTGTGTCTCAAGTTCGGGACTCATTTAGAATCCCACACACCGTCAATGCTGCCACCAAAGGGTTCGGACTACCACGACAGAACAACCAGAAACAGAGACAAGTATCGACCAATTAAATGTAGGACTGAACGACTCAGGAACTCCCCAATAGCTTACATTGTTCGCCTTTTAAATACTTAATCAAATTGTTAATGTTTTTAAGGATTAAGCTTTTAATATACCGTCTGATAAACCTATTATTGTATAAATGCTAAATTTTATCCATCAACGTTATTTCTTTTTATACTTATATATAGGATAATTGACCCATTGTTTTATTGTCAATTGAGCCCTATGTGTAATCGGAATCCGCAATTCAGCCTGCGGGCTGCGATGGATTTTATGTTAATAAACCATTCATCATCATCATCATCATCAATGTCAGGGATGGTATGTTCAGCATCAAGGACAGTACAGTGAAAAAATTTTAGTTTCAGTCTGAAAGAAATGCCATAATAAAATCACCAGGAAAAATGTCAAGATTTAGATAAATTTGATTGATATATACAACATACATTCATTTAATCAATGACATATAGAAAATAAAGATTATGACTATCTACCCCCACATCTTTTAACAGATGAAAGCCCTTGAGTGGATCCAGGCGAACATCAGAAACTTTGGAGGAGATCCTGACCGAGTCACCATCTTCGGCCACTCTGGTGGGAGCTGGGGCGTGTCCCTGCTGGTCATGTCTCCCCTGGCAAGGGGCCTGTTCCACCGGGCCATCTCTCAGAGCGGCGTGGCGGGAGTTCCAGTGACTGAGAAGGGTGACCTCACACGAACAGAGACCCTTGCTAGAGGGTTAAACTGCACCACGGCCGACTACGATGCAATGATGAGCTGTCTTCGAGGGTATGTTCAGCCCATGTTTTAGTTCTGAATTCGATTCGATTCTAGGTGTTTATTTCAACAATTGGTGCTCTTAGGAAATTCAAACTCTACAACTGGATAAATTATGGATAATAATTTCCGACCAATTTTGAGTGACATCCACCACTATTCTTTAGCGTCAATGATGAACTGGTAGATGTCACTCGAAACGTCCGGAAATTATTTCCTGTAATTGATCCAGTTTGAATTCCCTTTGAGTTTTTGTTTACCTGGATGTCTAACGTTCATCAACGCCATGCCCGTACCCAGGATTTTTAATGGGGGGGGGGGGGATTCTTCTCACTGCGAGCGCCGAAAGCAAGATTTCTACGGGTCTGGGGGGCAAGCTCCCCTGGAAAATTCTGAAGAAAATTAACCTTCTAAAATGGCATTTCCTGCGATATGATTTCAAAGAAAAAAAAATCAGAGATAACTTTTTAAATAACAAAGTGAGCAGTTTTATTTACGATTCCAGCCCCGCTGAAAAGACGAATCAATCCATCATTAACAACAGTCTTGGACCTTTAGTTAAAAATTGGACCAAAAAGTGTACCTTTGAGCCCTTCGGGGGGTTCGATTCGTCCGGCATGATCAAATGATGTTCATCCTTTGAATACAGTAAACCAGGTGAAGCTGTAAAGCAAGGAGCGGCCATAACAGCAGTCATCGGTGGAACATTTCTCCCGGAGAGTCCATGGGTACGTGTTCCTGTATTTGTTGTTCTATACTCCATTCATTTGTTGAGTTTGCAAATAGTGGTACATCACTGGACTATGAAACGGGGAGACCCGGGTTCGATTCCGGGTCCTACCCGAACAAGTCCGAACATGCGCCGCGACGTTGTACCCTTAGGAAAAGTACTTTACACGACTTTCCTTACTTCACTCAGGTGAAAATGAGTACCTAGCTTCGGTTAGGGACGTCCCTCGGATTGGACGTTAAATGGAGGTCCCGTGTTTGGGAGAGCCACACCCCACGCACGTTAAAGAACCCACCACACTTATCGAAAAGAGTAGGGGACCTTCCCGGTGTGAGTGGTTCAAACATTACATCCTGGAATTAGGTTTGACATCTTTGAAAAGGTGATAGTCACCTGTTATGTCAATCCTTCCACAAATGTGGTAAATCGTCATAAATAAATTGTGACCGTTGGGCTTTCAATGAACTTTTGGTGGTCTCCAAGGTTTTCCAATAATCAATGTTTTTCGGTCGCTCGTCGGTTACCAAAATCGTGTCAACTATCCAGAAGGAGCATATAGTTCCGGTTAATGTATTTGACATAAATGTTGCAAATTTACTTAAATTCATTAGCTTTCGATACTGTACACGAATTCCATCTTCAATCAAGACGTTTACTATATTACATTTGCCGTGTTTGTATCCAACAAAAGTTTGAAAAATAAAACTCAGCCTCTTGCTTAAAGGTATCGTTACAGAACGACCCCCCATTTATCCAATCAATCATTTATTCATATTCTTGAGTTTGTTCTTCTTTATTTGAAACTGATCGAAGTTTAGTATACGTAGTATCCCTTACAACACCTACAGGCATATAGAAAACCTTAACCCAGTCATGCCACTACATATACCCTCGATAAGAGTATATTAGGTTGTGAGTGTTGAATTCTACGTTCTGTGTCTTATTTTGATCGACATTTAGGCCACACCGATTTAATTTTATGGATGACATCCGCGCGCGCATTGATTTTCGCTTGTTCTAAAAAAAAATTACGTCGAAGCTCTGGCCTGGCTCTAGGCCTAGGCAGTCCATGGTAGTTAGCGACAGTACGGAGCCGGGCGCCCAGGCTACCGATGCTTCATAACTCAAGAACTCAGTACAGTACCGATTCATAAATTCGGCTTGTCGTATACGTCGCTATTCGCTAAGTACTGCCGCGAATTCACAATACCAGCTTTGTATTCCTGTGGTTAAGTAGCATTTTTATTTTGGGCCAGAATTTTTTTATTCGCCCGCGCGCACCGGTCTTTAGAGGATGTCATCCATAAAATTAAGCCGGTGTTGCCTTACTATACATTTACAACGTGTCTTACACAGGACCTGATGTTCAGGAAGGATATCAACAATATTGACTATCTCCTGGGCACCGTCAATAACGAAACTGCCTTTGTGGATGACGATGGGTTGACCAGACAGGAATTCCAATTGCAATTGCCATTCAGTTTACGCCGTATTACCGCTCAGTACGTGGTAAGTAAGGGGCTTGATCCTATTTACCTTATATAAAGCTATTTACCTATATTGTATAGAAGGCTACCTGTATGTGAAAGAACTTGTAAATATTGTAATGCAAAGGCTGTGGAAGACGAAATACACTTTATCTCAAATTGTTCCTTTCATAGCAACGCTCGAAATGAGTTAACTATTCAAACTTCTACAATTTACCCCAATTTTACTAAACTTACAGACCAAGAAAAAACTATTCTTCTTTTAACCTCCCAAAACCCACTAGTCTTATAAAGGTGGGACATTACGTCTTCCATGGTCTAAAACAGAGAAGTCAAACCCCTTAGACATAGTTTTAGACATAGCTGTAGCTCTAGACAACTACCTTTTATGATGTAGATTTTAGTTATTTTATACTACGTTTCATTGTTGTTTTATGTTTGTATGTATGTATGTATGCAATTAGCCCCCCGGGCATGAATTTGCAAAAAAACTTCTATAAACAGGGGTGCCAAAAGAATTCATAGGAATGTTACGGAATTCATATGAATTTCACAGAATTTATACGAATTTTGCGGAATCCAGACGAATTGTGAGGAATATATACGAATTTTCATTTTCCATTTCATTTTTATTTATTTATCCAGGGGTAGTATATTGCCAATGGCGGTTTTCAACGCTTCCTGCACAGAATTTTACGGAATTCATTCGAATTTTTACGGAATACATACGATCCATTACGCGGAAATACACTCAAGGTAGCACTGGACTGTTGTAATAGTCCAAAAAAAAAAGACAACCTCGGTCCATTAAATAAAACTTTCTATTCGAGGCATTAGCATTGGATTAGGTCACCTTTCTTGTTTTATTTTTTTGCGGGTTATTTGTTCATCTAACCTCGCCGCAACATCTGTTATGTAATAGTATGTTTATCTGAAGTGTAACTGACACTGTTAACTGTTCCGAATTGTTTATGTTCTTGTTGTGAGGGCTAGCCCTTTATAATAGCCTCCGGCTAGTTGGGCAGTCCTGGCTGCATACATATGTGTTATCAGCCTAATAAATCAAATCAAATCAAAATCTAACCTCCAGGGTGGGACGGTGGATGTGCTCGTTCAGCCTGTGACAGACCAGTATGTGGACCCGGGCAAGTGGGACGACAACATCTACCTAGGGTTCCAATTCCTCCAACAGGGCACCGACTCCGTGTTCGCTGCTCCGACCGTTCTGATGGCTCAGGCCGCAGCAGGTTTTGTTTATTTGTTTATTTATTTATTTATTTATTATAATTTTTCACAAAGTGAAAGGGAGGGCAAAACAGGTGCATACGCACCTTTACAAATTGCCCTCCCCCATACAAAGACACATATACAACATCATATACAACATCAAAATTTACATCGTCAATAACAAGTAAAAAATACATCAATATAAAAGGTTAAGCATAATTCAAATACATGTATATCTAATAAGTAGTTATAATATATTCTGTTGATAAAATAAGACTTAGTGCGGTCTAGAAGTAGTACAAGAACTAAACCCACAAGAAGTGGTCCAAGTACATGGCAGGTCAAGACTGTAATCTGTTGTAGGTGGCCTTCAGTAGTTTATGTTTAAATGATATAATATCCGACTGATGAGCTGCTCGCTTACCAGTACCGCGGAGGTCAGGGCCTAGCTTATTAGAAAAGCCTAGGATAGGTTAGAAAAGATCCTCCAATGAGCAACAAAACACTCTGTAAAAGCTGCAAATGCATTTCTAGATGTTGTTTTTCACCTCCATGAAGAGGGAAGGGGGATGTTTGTGGCCTGTGTGTTTGCCTGTGTGTCCTCACGTTTGTTTGTCTGTGTCTGTCTTACCGAAAAATGTGTGCACAACTTAAAAAGACATTGCTGGATGAATATGATGTTGACACGGTATTTCATAGGTGGATTAGGTGTTGGTCAAGGTGGAATTTGGGTTTTTGTACTGCGGCAGAACTTCTTGCTTTTGTATCTTTCTTTTTGATTTCAAATACTTGTTTCTCAACCTTTACCCATAATGTTTCCATTTTGCGCATTATGAACCCTAACATACTTAAAAGGGCAAGAAGAAGGGTAGTGTGTAGAGTTTGCTTCTTCGTACTCATTTACTCCTGATGCCCTGTTATTAATCTGTTTGAACTATCTCTACCCTTTAACCCCTCCGAAGCCTTGGGGTTATGTGGCGTAGTGGCAGCGTGCTCGACTCCGAACCTTAAGGTCCCGGGTTCAAGTCCTGATATGCCACCGATCCTGTGCCCTTTGGAAAAACTCTTTACAGGACTTTCCTCACTCAAATCAAGTGAAAATGAGTATTGTCTGTCTAGCACTTGATTCTATGTGTGGGGCACAACACCAGCAACAGCTACCTGTGTCCGCCGTGTATTGTACTGTTGCAATTTCAATAAATCAAAAAATCCAAATCCAATCCAAGCCTGATTGAGGCTAATAAAATGCTACATAAGGTTTGTTTAAAGTTGAAACTTTTGGTCCAACACAAAAATTCTCTCACCTAGAGCTTTCGACCAGTCACTCTGGTCTTCCTCAGTAGACTGACCTAGTGAAGCTTGTCACGTGGCTTCTTTGAAGTGTGACGTCAATACTGGGTCAAAGGTATCTGGTAGACGATGTCGGCCCCCGTCGCGGTTCAATGTAGGTCGATGGGCCCTGATGTAAATGGCTTCCTTCACCTCTCTGTCCCAGTGTTGACCTTTGACCCAGTGTTGACGTCACACTTCAAAGAAAGCACTTGACAAGCTTCACAGGGTCAGTCTACTGAGGAAGACCAGAGTGACTGGTCGAAAGCTCTAGGTGAGAGAATTTGTTGTGTTTGACCAAAAGTTTCAACTTTAAACATGTAACTGCCAACACAGATGAACTTTCGTGACACTACATGAGGTTTGTTTATCCCTACACAGAGCACGGCCGAGTTTATCAGTACGAGTTCCAGCAGGATTCAAACGCGTTCTCCTGGCGTCCGTCCTACATCATGGCGGACCACGGAGACGACGTGTTCTACACCTTCGGCATCCCGCTCCTGCGTGACGACACTGGGACCTCCTGGAAGTACAACTTCACCCAGGAGGAACGGGACCTGAGTCTGGACATGATGGCTTACTGGGTAAACTTCGCAACCAACGGGTACGTGGATTTAACCTGGGTACCATCTTCAGTATGTACCACCATCTCTCTTTTTTTCTTTAAAGTCTCTCTGAACAATTCGAAACTTTCAACGAAGTTGTGGGGTCGTATGGCGTAGCGACAGAGTGCTCGACTCGGAACCAAGAGGTCCAAGGTTCGAGTCCTGACATGCCACCGATATATTGTGACCATGGGAAAGGCACTTTGCACGAATTCCTACACTTCGCTAAGGTTAGAATGAGTATTGTATTGCCCCCTAGGTTGGTGGCGGCATTATTATCAAAGAACTTGAGTTGAAAAAACTTGAGTGTACCGTCACCACGTCTTGTGATTAGATGTTCGAATATTTAAAAGAAAGCTGGGGAGTAACCTGGTAACTAAAGAGGCCACGCCCTCCTTTGCCCTTTCGGTACAAATGGAGTTAAATTTGAGATAAATATGGGTTTGACTGCCGACTACGTCCGACCAACTCCTAAATACGAATCAACTACTAACGAACTTCCCGTCTACACCAGAAGGTTCTGGTTTGGGATTTAAACAAACATACATTGGTCGTAGAATAATTATGCCTTCCCTGAATTGCGTAATGTTGTAAGGTTACAACAGTCGTCTTTACACAGTTACAACATAGAAAGTTGAAAGAAAGTGTGGAACTACTTACATGACAATTGCAATATTTTGCAATTGAGTAAAAACAGTTAACCCGTGACCAGGGCTGATAAGACAAAGAGATACTCACTTGTTAAAACGTATAATTGTAGATTGCAAGAAATGTCAATCATTTTTTTTATTCCAACATTTCATGACTAAACATGGTGACGGCACACTCAAGTTACATCAACTTATTTAATGCCGCCACCAACACAGAGTACAAATACAGGAAACTGCAATACCCATTTTCAATTGAGGTACTAGTAAATGAGGAAAGTCGTGTAAAGTGCCTTTCCCAAGGGCACCAGATCAGTGGCATGTCAGGACTCGAACCTCGACCTCTTTGTTCCGAGTCGAGCACTCTGCTGCTACGCCAAACGACCCCAAGATCATTAAGTTCTTGCCTTGGTTTAATTTCTGCTAACCTAATAAATAATCTTGGGCAACCTTGCAGAGATCCAAACGACTCAACCGGATCAGCACGCATGCGCAACATGGTTTCCTGGCCACGCTACGTGACGTCATCTCAGTCGTACCTCCAGCTGGACGTGACGTCATCTGCTGACGTCAAACTTCGGGAGGACCTGATGACGTTTTGGAACGAGGAGGTGCCGAGGCTGCTGGGAAAGAATGTCACACGTGTTGGCTCTGGTGGTAACGGCGGGCCGTCGTGCTCCAGCCATTTCATACTGGCGTTATCATTGGTTTGCGGTCTAATTACGTCAATCTAGAAGCCCTCCCATTGGCTGGGCCTGCAACAAGCTTGGCAGCAAACACACCTTAGTCAGTCGTATCATGACTATGATCACATAGGCCACAAAGGTTGTGATTTAAGAGCCTTAAGTTTGTTTTTTGTTTGTTTGTTTGTTTGTTTTTTCTGTGAGTGAGTTTGACTTTTTTGTGTAACCAAGAAGCTATAATTGTTCAGGGTATAAAACGACTGAACATCATTTAGAATAGATATGTGGTGATTTGGCTAGTGATCCAAGTTCATCCGAGTAATACAATACAGTCTAAGGAAGTAAAACTTACATAAGAAGACTTAAATTTTCAATGTTAATGTTGGTAAACCCGTTGTACAATGTTTCATATCTCAGGTGTCAAGATCATGGAGCTAGAAAAGGTTTACATTTTCGTTTGAAATAGTCCTAAAATATATATTGGGAATTTTCAATATTAATGTTGGTAAACTGGTTGTACAGTGTTTCATCTCTCAGGTGTCAGATCATGGAGCTGGAAAAGGTTGATAAGCTTTTAAAAAAGTACGTACACAACATTTTTTCCTTAACATAGTTACAGAAAATCCTGAGCTCGTTTTGGACTAAATTTTTGTTTGTTATATTATTGCACACCATATGTATAGGTAGTCATGTTTTTCCTTCTTTTCCTGTCATTTCGTTGAATTGATTGAATTTCTTCCTTAATGGGCCGAATGACCTGAAATTTGGTATGAATGCCGAAACCCATCTTATACACTGTCAGACTTTATTCAATTTGTACATTAAGAGTTAGTTACATACACATATTCTTAAACATATATGTCACCAGAGTAGGTGAAGCGATTTCTCTAATAAGTCAGGAACTTTAAATAAGCTCTTGTTTTTCTACCTACTTTAATGAAAAGAAAAGACAAAGAAGTAAAATCTTTCACACGCACGATTTGTGGTTTAGTTGTTTATCTGTTTTATTTTATTTGTTTGCCTTAAAATTCGTTTAAGCATGATTGTAACTGCATATAAATATGTAAAAGGCGGGGGCGTCGCTTCAATTACTGTGTGGTATACGATACAATGTTAAATTATTGTTATATTTTAATATAGCATGGGAAATTATAACGATCAAGTGTATACAGAAAAAAATATATTTTTGTGACTTGTTAAAATCGTCCGATTTGAAGCCAATCTACCTTGAACCTAGGCGGCGTGTTTTTTTTTTTTTCAAGAATTACGGATCAGTTGTAAATGTTGCAAATTTGAATCGCTGTTATACAACGTTCATAAAACGAAAGCGTCAAATTTTGCAGCTATGATTTGCACAAATCAACAGTGTCAACAAATACATTTCCTACGTTAAAAACTCCTTTACACACTAAACTGATACACACTCTTTCATCAGAAATATATATATAGCTGTGTCTTTCAAGAAGATCTATTAATGAATATATGAGCATTAGTAAGATAAATCTGATACTACAAAGGGGACCCCAGAAAGTGCGAAATGGAACGAAATGGAACGAAAAGAATACCATCAAACTTAACGTTGCCGTTAGGACGTCGAGCGGACACTAACGTCGCCGTTCCAACGTACTTCATACATATTTCGTTTCATTTCGTCCCATTTCGTTCCATTTCGCACTTTCTGTACACCGCTACAAAGGCTAATTAAGATGGATCTTGGTCCGGGGTTTACCTCAACACACCCCGAGGTTCTCTTATCATCTCATGCTTTGTTCTTGAGCATAGCAAAGCGTGCTACATTGGTAACTATGGCAATGAGGATAGGGATAAGGATGGCATTTTGTAGTGCCATGACAGCCCTTGCTGCCCACGTGACCCTCCCCACTGCACCACTCAGGACCATCCCTATCTCCATGATAACAGCCCCAAACTCGTCCCCTTCATCCACCATGTCCTGTAGATAGCTCATGTGTCGGGCCCAGGGGAGGGCGAAGGTCTGGAAACATATACGGAGGGAAATGATTAAAACATACAGAGGAAAATGTGAGAAACTGTATCTAAAATAGAACCAAGCCGCAGTTGCAAGGTTTTGTACGAAGAACTATGAAATGGGTGCTAGTGTCACGGAAAGGGAAAGAAACCTACGGCAAGTATCTCTGGAAGACAGACGAAAATATCCAGACTATATGCATGATGTACATTGCGCGATTTACGGATAACGATTTTGTTTTGACGCTTGGTTGTTTTGTAACTTTATGTATTGTTTAATGTGTTGAATTCATTGTTTTCATGTGTAACTTGTTGTCACAGGGCATTCCTGAAAAACAGTGTTTTTACATAGCACTGAGAGCTCTACCCTGTTTAAATAAAACAGACTGAAATACAAACTAACTAATAAACTGGTCTGCATCGATTACTAAGTATATAATAGCATCTTAGAAAAAAAGGAATAGTCGTGCCTTTAACTTTTAGAGTTATCAACCAATAATCTAAGTGTTAAAAACTCATATTCAAAAAAATATTGGGGCACCATTACTACATAGCTTTAAAGAATCATTCAGTAAGATGTAAAAGATTGGGTGTAACAGTTCGATAGTTGTGTTCATATTTGTTTGAAACAAGTGTCAACTTGAAATACAATTCTCAGCAATAGCATAGAGTATTGCATTATGTATTTCCTGTTTGCAACAAAGAAAGTAGTCATTTTCTTTTTATAGGGGCGTTAGCAGCAAACAGACTTTTACATCATACATGCCACAATTTGTAAAACCAACAGTATTATTGCTTGATTAGGAAAGAAAAGGAAAAAAAAAGTAGTAAATTTAAATCAATGTTTGTAAGTAGTTAGAAGTAGACCTAATTAGTAAGAATGATGCATGACTCAAGTAGTGGATGACATTGTATTGTCAAAATAATGGAGATTCCTTTATAAAAAATTAAACAAACAGACCTTGACAATGGATGTAGCAGTCTTGGACCTCTGCATGAGCCAGACGATGGGGTTGGCCAGGGTGTGGTACCCCTCCATCACGTGTGGGAACTCTGTAGCCAGCTGGCGACCAAAGGCGGCATCAGCCAGGTAGGTCTGGGCGTCTAGGTGACCTGTAGGGTCAAATACGATGTCATGTTTTATCTTGAATTTCTGAAGTGAAATACTCCACATGACTGGAGATTGAGCCATCGAATGTTTTTTATTATAGCCTCTTTTGAAGACTTCTGGTCGTCGGGGCTATACGAGCAGCTGGATCTGTGGTTTGTTGGGGGTGGGTGGGGTGTACAGCCCGCGCAAGAAATCCCCTCCAGTTTTTTTCTATTCCAACATTTTATGACGGTACATTCAAGTTTTTCAACCTATTTTATGTCCAACGAAGAGGACTAATGCAGGACAGGACTTAAGTTGAGTGAGGAAAGTCGTGTAAATGACTTGGTTCCGAGTCGAGCACGCTACACTACCCCTTTGAGGGCACCGATTGACAGCAGACTTTTACTACTACAATACAGCTCGCCCTCCTAAAGAAGGCCGTCCCCGAAAAGAAGCTTTTCGCTCGTAGAGGCAAATGAGGCCCACTAGAAGTCTGCAGATCAGGCTACATTTTAGAAATGGGGTCGTGCGGCGTAGCGGCAGAGTGCGCGACTCGGAACTAAGACTCCCGGGTTCGAGTCCTGACATGCCACCGATCTTGTGCCCTTGGGAAAGGCACTTTACACGGCTTTCCTACTTAGCTCAGGTGTAAATGAGTATTGTCCTGCAATGTATTTGTCCCCTGTGTTGGTGGCGGCATTAATATAAGTTGAAGAAACTTGAGTGTGTCGTCACCACGTCTGGTGATTACATGTTGGAATAAATAAAAAAAAAAAAAAATGTTGAAACATTCTGTGATTTTGTTACATGTCAACGGCCCCGTATGGGAGGAGCTTCAGGCCCAAGATCAGGTTCAAACCTCTCCCGGTAGCACACTCATGGAGAAGACTGGGTAAGACCTGAAGTGCTTGGCTATAAAGGCAAGGCTCAGTGCACTGTCAGCCACTAAAAAATTCTATTTTGTTTTGTTAATGTTTCAATCAAGCATTACGCTTTTATTTCGAAGAAATCTCGGTTGCAATTGACTGCTGTCAGAGGAATTAAATATTTTTAACAATGCAAAGATGAAACGTACCTAGTTTGATAAATCAAAAGAAAGACAAAATCTTACCTTGGGCAAAAAGCTCTGTGCAGATCACCGTGTTCCTGAGAACATTGACGGCTTCACCAACACCAAGTGCAATAGCATTACCGCAGGCTCCTCCAATACTGAGCGTGCAGGGCGTGATGCAAGCAATCGCACCTGCAGCTGTGTACAACAAATAATGAATGGATGAATGGATGAATGGATGAATGGATGAATGGATGAATGAATGAATGAATAAGTGAGTGAGTGAGTGAGTGAGTGAATAAATGAATGAATGTATGGATGAAAGAATGAATGAATGAATGAATGAATGAATGAATGAATGAATGAATGAATGAATGAATGAAGACCTATATCGTACAAAAATACCTACTGGGTTAAGGGGTTAAGTACGAATGAGTTGCTTCTGTAGACATGCAAATATATACACGATTAAGCTAGTACTAATGCTATAATCTACGTGAATTCGATTCCTCCTCGTTTCTCTATAATGGTAAAAATATAAGACAAAGCATGTTCAAGGATTAGAGGTTTGTCTAAGTTCATTAGAAAATGATTTTGTCTGTATTACTTTAGTGTATAAAGTCGAATGGATGTAATCAATCAATAAAGCTCAATTCTCTCTATTTTGTACAGACTACATAAATCATTCTATAATACACAGAACAGTCTAAAAAGGCTAGGAGCAAAAGGTCATTCTTTGCAATATCAAACTGTAGTACTTGACATAAATAGAGAAAGCACTAATTTTATTTAAACCGTGATTTAGACATCAACTCTTAATTGCACATTGTAATCGAGAAGTCCATCTTACCACCGTTGGAGAGTGCCCCGACTCCGAAGCAAATACCGCATCCAACAGAGTCACCAACACATTCTCCGAAAGCACCTAATGTGGCCTGCGACAACAGTAGGCGGCGGCGACCACCCTGCAAAACAAAGCAAGATAATGAGTAAAGAGACTCTTTTTACACAACCAAGTCTTTTATTCAGACGACGTTCCGGTGACCGTCTGTCACCTTCCTCAGGGCAATTCTGAATAGTTCACATTGAATTTCACGCAGCACAGGTGTCGCTGCTATAGATGCATTCCCAAACGTACAATATTTACATATCTACAGTATGTATTACTGTAGACGTGCTATCTACATATTAAACATATTTTACGTTTGGGAATGCATCTATAGCAGTGGTGTGCTACTATACAATGTGAACCAGCCAGAATTGCCCTGAGGTAGGTGACAGACGGTCACCGAAACGTCAACTGAATAAAAGACTTCATGAATATTCTACTAGCTGTGATATATACATGAGGAACAGTAGACGTCAACAATTTGGGGGTATGTGTCTTTACCTTTAAAAACGTCACTGTTGAATAAATGTTATAGTTACAAGGCCAAATGAGAACATACTGTGATATTGTGTTTTCAACGCATTTTCTCCGAATGAGGTAATAATAAAAATAATAATTACCAGGTATTTTGTTACCAGGATAAAATGCCAATAAATAACTACTAATAGACAGTTCAGAGGTGTCTCAACACATTCACATAGAGTCACCCGGACACTTTGTTTCACTTGACACTGTAAGGATTTTAGACACTGGACAAGACTATTTCTTGAGAGGAGTGAAGGAAGCCATTTACATCAGGGCCCATCACCCTACATTGAACCGCGACGGGGGCCGACATCGTCTACAAGATACCTTTGACCCAGTGTTGACGTCACACTTCAAAGAAGCCATGTGACATTTTAGCCTCACTGGGTCAGTCTACTGAGGAAGACCAGAGTGACTGGCCGAAAGCTCTAGGTAAGAGAATTTTTTTGTGTTGGACCAAAAGTTTTAACTTTAAACACTTATAGACAAATTCAGCAGATGCACAAAGCTTCCAAAGACAAGAATATTTGTCGCACCTGATCAGAAACAGGATAAGTGATGGTCTGTACGCATTCCATGCTGTCACCAGGATTGATACTTGGTGGGCAGAGTACGTCCAGCGTCACTGGTCCTTCCGGCTTGTCACAGCTCATCTGCAGGCTGTACCCGTAGTCAGTCGACACAATGAACATCTCCGGAAATGTGTCTTCGGTAAAGTCATGTTCCACCGGCATGTACGTTGCAGGATCCGTAGCATTGACGGAAAACTGGAAATGTACAAAATCAGCTTTTTAGTATCAATTAATTATAGGCGGGGAATTCTCTGGCAACTTACATCTGTATCTGTATAGCCTGTATAACCGCCTTTCGGCGTAACACACCAGCTTCCTAGGCACGCGGCGCGGCGGCAGCTGGCTATATTACACCGATCGACTTGTTATACCTAACCCTTGAACTTCTAGCTCTAGACATTGTTTAAAGCTATCTATTGACAATGCCCCTACTGTACTTGGTGACAGTGAGTTCCACTCTGCGATAGTTCTAGGAAAGAATGCTGTATCTGTATCTGTATAGCCGGTATAACATGTATTTGAAGATATTTCAGAGATGTCGCATCTACTGTAGTGTCCTAATAGCATCTTTCACATGTGTTTCAATCAGCAAAAAAGTCGTTTTGACAGCAGTATATTTTTACCTTTGAGTTGCGACAGTCGTTCCCAGCCAGTGTCTTCAGTGCCATGACATCAGACTTGTTGAAGATCGAGGCAGACGACATGGCAGCAGACATCACAGCAGACATGGACATCATGTCAGAGGAAGGTACCTCCTTCCTACGTCCCCAGTCGCCTTGTTGGTCAGACTCATCGTCCATGTGAGATACCTGCGACAGTCCGCTCAGAATCCAGGACCCTGTCATGGCGACGGTCACCTTGCTGGTGTCTGGAATCTGTGGAGCGACGAACGAATGCAGGTAATCTCCGAACGCGCGACTTCTTGTGGAGTCGATCGCCAGCCTGCCGGACAGTCCGTTCTGCCACTCCGCCTCGCGGGTCAGGTGAGCAAGAACCGTCGGAGCATCGGTGGTGCGCGCGATCTGACACGAGTCGTAGAACAGGTTGACTGCGTCGTATGCCAGCGGAGCATACACGGGAGGCGAGCGTTTCAGACGGTCGGCAAGCTTCTGCATTTTGCGCATCCTGCGTTTGCTGTGAAGTCCCTCCCCTGCAAAAGCCAGTCCGTACAGGCTTGCCGTTTGCGCAGCCAGCTTTGCTTCATCAGAACTCAGGATGTCCTCTCGGAGAGCCAGGGAGTCCCCGGTGTACCACATGCGCCTCAACAGTGCACTGTCGCCGCCGGCTGCTTCCAGGATGTACCTTGCTTCTGAATACGACACAAACAGGACGACTGCGTCAGGGTAGTCCCTCAAGGCGTCGCGGAGTCGGTCAGTCAGCCCCCACGCTTCCTCCTTGTTGGTGATCGTACCCGGCGCGTAGCTGATACTGGTACCGACGGTAATGCGGTCCATCATGCCGTCCGCCAGGTCGCGAATCCTCTGCACCAGGTCCGTAGCGTAGATGTCCTCGACGTGTACCGGGATGACGAAGGAAACGTTGTCGCTTTGCAGCTTCAGGTACAAGGCCAGGGCAAGAGCTCGGTCCCCCATGCTGAGACGAATTGTGTTTGTGGCGTTGGCCAGTCGTTCAGATGTTGCTCGCGGAGAAATGAAGACCACGTCTGGTGCGTTTTCCATCGCCCACTCCGCCACACGGACCGCATGGCTGCTGGTGTCGGGACCCACGAACAGACGCACGCCCCGTCGGCTGTACAGGCGGCGGAAAGCTTGCAGAGCCCCGTCTGGAGATCCGTCGTAGTCCCCGCTGTGAACCTGGATGTCCGCAGCTGATGGTATCTTCCTCCGATGAGCACGGATGTCATCCACGGCCAACATTGCCGCTTCCTTCATGCCCTCAGCGGAGTTGTCGTCGGTCGAAAACAGTAAACCGATCCTGACGATTTCCTCTGCCATTTGGATAACAATAAAGGATACGTCGGTAAATAGACATCCAGGAAATTAACAGTTGCTTGAGTAATTGTTTTAGGCGAATAAACTACCTATCAATAGTTGTAGCTTCAGTGACAGAATAAAATTTGATGTTGAATTGTTTCTCAAATTGCCACATTTAAACGTGCATGTATTATTCTAAAATTGACCGAAGAAACACATTCATTTTCTATGGGTGAAATAGAACCTTTCCTGTGAGTACACTGTGTTAAGTACAGATCAGAAGAATGAATAGCCTGTGCATAAACAACCTGTAACTGTCACTAGAGTAAATTCGATTTCTACTCGCTTCTCTGTAACATTTTCAAAAGACACAATCTCACAAAAATAGTCTGTTACAAACTTTAGAATCAAGTGGGTTCTTAATTAAAAATTCCAGCCAACCTTTTGGCTCGTTGCATCGTTGTATTGTCAAGCCAACGGCGAGTCCGATCACTATGGCCAGCACGGCTCCGGCTAACACCACCCCAATCAGCAGACTCCGGTACCTCAGCCGCAGGGCCCTCACTTCCTTACCATCCGCCATTCTGTACATCCCTCGTCTGAAAAGGATGTGTGATTTCAAAATACTGTGCATTGTTTTAGTACGTACGTTCACTAGCTAGACTCTCAATCGGCCCATAATCATAACGACATAGCATATGACATCCACATTTTAGAGGATTGTAAAAACCACAGGAAGAATTTTGGTGCCGTTTAGACGTAATTTGACGTCATTAAATGGTAATATTTCGATTTTATTTTCTAAAACCATCTAGATTTTACCTAAATGTAAGCAACAACACTAACAAAACGTATGTAGGATAAAGTATTAAGGTCTGTTTTCGGCAGACTTCGTGTGTTTACATACACACAAAGAAAAACACACAAAGTCTGCCAAAAATACCCTTCTTGAAAAATATATTTCGGGCACTGCACTAGTTTCCTTCGGTCTCTGCATCACCTATCACTGTTCAGGACTGAAATAGCACTAGCTACTAGCTATACCTAGTCAGAAGGCCGCTAGCGACTGGACTTAGTTAGTCTTGGCTTACCCCGCCCTTTAGAAAGTATTGCATATTCTGTATTGAATAATCGCTGTGAGAATGTTTCGTTTCCATTCACCCCATGCATAAAATCACGCTGTTTGAAGGCGAGTTCAAATTCATTTTCGCGGGATTTCATTTTGGGGAAGTAGTTCATGGCAAAAACGGCAACTTGTTCATGTATTACGTCATAGTCATCGCCTATTGAATCATTTAGGGACTTAAAAGAAAGTTCTAACATATGTTTGTGGCAGTCACCGCGCAAAAATTAGACGACAAAAGGAAGTAAAAATAAATGGAGACTGGCCAAGTTCCTTTCGGGCTTCAGAAGGCGTGGTAACGAAGTGAGTTCTAAAGGTCAGGACTTCCCTCTAAAACACGGAACTGAAACTCCACTTTCCGGGTATAAAGATAATTTCGAATATAATTATGAAGTCATATATATTAATATACACCTAAATATAAATTACTGCAGTCATTCCACGTCCTTTTAAAATAAGTAACGTCGAGAAAGAGAGGAAAAGTCATTAATTGAGCTGCGACAAGAGGTGGGGTTGATTTTAGGGGCCTTAGTGCTATACTGTAAAGACCATGTGATAACAATGGCACTGAAGTGCAGTTTATGTTCGTAAAAATAGTCATCAAACATAATTATAAGTAATGTTCAATGAACAAGGAAGTCTTGAACAAAATACAGTCTTTTAATGTTAGGGAACATCTAGCAAGCGTTCGGGTATCGTTCGCTTTTGTTGTTGTTGTTTTTTTGGTGTTTTTTTTTGGGGGGGGGGGGCTACTTTCGATCAAATGTAGATCACGCAATAGAAACCCCGTCCGCCAACCCTAGTATGCTATTCCAGGGATCCCAGGCATAACATACTGAAGACAAAATGCCCCCTCCCTAAAAAAGAAGACGATCGCAAAGGAGGCTAGTAAAATGTGAACATAAGTACGATAATAATCGTTTTACCATAAGGTCCGTGTCAGTCTTGTGGAACGAAAACTACAATACACCCTGAAGTTTACCAATTTGAAGCTAATCATAAACACGTTATTTCCGTATATTCTTCATATGCATTGTTAATTTCTTCATTCACAAATACAACATGGCCAGACCCCGGCTTGGAAATATGACACCCGAGAGGTCGTGGGTTCGAACCCTGCCCATGTCACCGATCTTGTGCCCTTGGGAAAGGCACTTTACACGAATTTCCTCACTTCACTCAGGTGGAAATGAGTACCTAGCTTCGGCTAGGGACGTCCATCGGATAGGACGTTAAATGGAGGTCCCGTGTTTGGGAGAGCCACACTCCACGCACGTTAAAGAACTCACCGCACTTATCGAAAAGAGTAGGGGACCATCCCGGTGTGAGTGGTTCAAGCCTTACAGTCTGGTGTCGGGGTTGACATCTTTGAAGAGGTGATAGTCACCTGTTATGTCAATCCTTCCACAAATGTGGTAAATCGTCATAAAAAACAGAAAAAACGAACATATCTCTGAATACACTGAAATAGACCAGGTCCCATACAACTATTAAGACAAAAAAAAATGACCTACCTTGTAGCGCCAGGAGCTCGCAAACGTACGTCTGACACCTCCAAGCACACCCCGCTAAAGTAAAGAGGGCAAAATGTCGCTATACTCTAGCCTTGTAAGGGTGACTTGCATACCGTGTTATGAATGAGCGAAACTAAAAAGTGAAGTCATCTAAACCGCGTTAGTTGGCAAGTACATACGTGTACTGAGTTGGAGAAGTACCAAAAGAAACGTGCATTTATACTTTAGCCTTGCTGGGTGGATGAATGACTTGCATTTCGTACCATGAACGAGCGAAACTTAGAGTGACGTACTGCACACGATGCGGGATAGTAGAAAAATACTTGCCCTAAGTTGGAGAAGTGCCAGACGTATCATACTTCACACGTATTTGGGCGGATGCATGACTTTACTATCCGCATATCGTGAAGTAGAGTTCCAGGATGTCATACTTTCGCCAAATATTTAAATATAGAATACAACACGTGGTATGCTGTGTGGAATGCATCGTGTTGTATTTTATTTATGTCATACCCACCCAAGAAAACACGCCTTTCAATGCGAAATGAGCGAAAAGTTGGTGTCCCTAAACCACAAAAATGCAACAACATCAATTCCAACGTCCGAATTTTGTATTCGAATTTTCGAAAGCGGTGCACGCGGTTATTATAGGGCGAAACGCGTTCGAATCGTTCTTTGGAACGTTTGGAAGCCCGGGCCGTATACGCGTTAAAAAACCCCAGGCCGTACAGCTAGTTATCACACGGGCCGGAACACCTGTATCGAACGTAATCGCGGCTCAGGTATGACATAAAAAACTACACGTGTATTCTGTATTCTCCAATCAGATTCAGTGGGGCAATGGGACTTTATGTTGACCGCCTGTATCCATTAGCCGCCTATATCCGCGGGAGAGCTGAGACCAAGGGTGATGCGGAATGACACCGTGGAGCATTTTATTTATGTCATACCCAAACAGACATTTCAATGCGAAATGTGCTATAATGTGGTGTATCTAAAAACAAAGAGTGTAACGGCGTCAATTCCAACATCCGAAATCGGTGTTCAAAGTTTCGAAAGTGCCGCACTCGGTACGCGCGAAACGCGTTCGAATTACTGTATGGAACATACGGAAGCTCGTGTGATAGAAAGAAAAACCAATGGCTGCATCCAACCCCGGGCGGGAACACCATACCAGAAACAATTAGATTTTACGGGAGATGAAAGTTTTTGAAAAAAAAAAATTGTACAAGGCTATTGCCAAGTGCTACAATAAAGAATCATGGAGAGATTGACAACAATATCTGTCAATCGATACAGTATCTGTTTAGTCGTTTATTTTCCTATTGTTTGGTAAAGAAAAGACAAAAATATGAAATACCCGATTTTTAAACCCTATTCAGACCGAGTGGTTTTTTGGGGCTCGCGCCAACTTTAATCGCAAATAGCGCCGGAACGGCTTAAGCTAGAACCATCAAAGTTAGTGACCTTTCTTAAAATGCATTTGGGAAAAAAAAAATGTTAGTTGAATAAGTTAATGATTTTTTGTATTGCCATGGCAACGGGTTTCTGACAGGCAGTTTTTTTAAATCAATAATTTTGGTTCAAACATAAAAATTTTCCGGGTTTTATATTAAATAACACTTCCTTTCTGACATTAATAACATCTTACATAATGATAAGTTAAATCATTTAATATCCATAATATATGCTAATTTGATGACGTCATTGCTCAAAATCCAAGATGACGGGCCGTATTATTAGCTCTGACGTCATACGACGTCATAATTTAGATACAAACCACGGCGACATCTGCGCTCTCACGGCGCTCTCTCCGCGCTCCGACCAATGTCAGGTCGCAGAGAGAGCGCAGAGGAGCGCAGTGAGGGCGCATTGAGAGCGACGTCCTAGTGAAATAGGGGCCTTGCACCCATGATTTAATATAATATGATACAGGTTGAACTTGAATTCAAGATTCAAGATTCAAGATGGATTTATTGGTTCTTCGCAGTTAAAAACAACTGAATTGTAAACCAATTTACAAAACATTGGCATATTAAAACTACAGGTTTGCAATCAATATAGGCGTACGATTAACAAACCAATAAAAATACATGTTCCATACATTATAAATTCCCCGGACAACAATTGATACAGAAACAGTGTACTACATTTAAAAAGACAACAGTCAGGGATTCAGTCCATAGTTATTGAGGAGCTGGACCATAAACGGTATAGGCGAGTTCTTATATCTATTCGTTCTTGCTCTCGGGCAGTCTAGCATCTCGCTGTTTCTAGTACTACGGCCAGTTATTTGTGATCTCTGTGGAGGTAGTCAATCTCTGTACTCTGACCTCACAAGTGTCCTAGCAAACTTCACACACAACAGTTCTCTTCTCTCGGCAAGTGATGACAGTCCGAGATGTTGTAGTGCGTTGTCATATCCTGTGTAGGTGGTTCCCAAGATGATGCGGCAAGTCCGCCTTTGAACACGCTCAAGGCTGCGTTCCTGGGCTTAAGTTAGGGCAGGAGTCAAGGCAGGGGCTGCATACTCCAGGATAGGTCTAATATATCTTGTGTAAATGGTTGTGAGGTCACTGTGGGAGACGTTGAACCTTTTGAGACGTTTTAGGGAGTAGAGCTTTCTGGAAGCTTTCCCCACCATGTGGTTGACCTGACTTTGAAAGAGAGAAAACACACAAAATTTCGTTCTCTTTTTCGGCAATTCGTTGAAAGAGCTAGGTATGAATTCGTTGATCGTCCACAAACGGTGCTGACATTTGAGTTTTTGGTCGCACAGAGAGCACAGGTAGATCGCCGTAGAGATTCCACTTGAGCACGTTTTTTGTGGAGTTCGGCGCTCTCTCTTCGCTCTGGCCAATTCCAGGTCGCAGAGAGAGCGCGGTGAGACCGCCACTAAAGCCCTGGTGACAACCCGCCGCACGTGCTTTTTGTCCGTACGTTTTTTGGGAGGCTACGTCTGCTACGTTTTTCTGAAAACGTGGGGAAGGAGTGGCGTCTACACAGGTCACTCGCACGGTTGCGCAAAGTGTAAGAGTGGGGTCTGCACGCCACGTCTGGCCGTGAGAGGTTGCGTGCATCGTACGTTGTGTAGGTGGTGAGTTGTACGTGCTTACAACGTACGATCTAGGTGCGATTGCAACTTTACTGTAAGGAGGCCGTATTCACGCGTGCGTCTTTCTTACGGCACGTACGGGGCACGCGCGTCGCTCGTACTCGTACGCACGGGTGGTGAATCCGCAGACCGCAAGTAGAAAAAGTTCCACGTGCTCCCAAATCCGTAGGATTCCGTACGGAGGCGGTACTCACCACGCACGGATCCCCTACGTTTGCCCACGTTTTTGCACGTAGACAGCACGCAGAAGCACGTACGGCGGGTTGTGACCGTGACTTAAGTAGAATGTAATGCCTAAGTATTATTGCCCTTAAAAGGTTAGCATAGGTCTACGTCTTCATTCGCTAATTGCCATTGCCATCTAGCTGGAACTCCAGCCCTCCGTGACGCCTGTTTCCTAGGCTACAGAAATAATTGATTGGTTGATAAGCTCGGTAAACCAAGTCCTTGTCCACAGACGATGTTGACATGCCCCCCCTCCCAAAAAAATCTTACGACAAAAGTGCAGTGTGACGGCTGTTATCGCCCTTAGACAATGAAAAATCCTGGCTACGTGCTAAGAATGAAAACGCCGCGCCCAGAAGCCACGCCCGTCCAGAAGCCACGCTCATATTGTCAAATAACCCCTAGTCAGACGTAGCTGTGAACACAGACACTGGTTAAACAGGTTTTCAAGCAGTACGCAGCACACAACTCCGCAAAAAGGCTCCACCTTCAAGGAGGTAAATCTGTTTTACAGATCCTTTAGGATATTTTAGGGTTTTTTAATGATAGCTATAGCGCTAAGAATACGTGTAAACGTACAATGATCCCCCATGTTTTACTACGAAGTATGCTAAATGGTCAAAAAGGCCCGGACACTATACATGTAGCTAGGTGTGTTTGTCGTTACGCATAAGTAGGTTGTGAAACAGGGTCAATTCTAACATGTACTAAAAAGACGTGCAGGTAAAGGCACGTCATTGTGTTCTCCTGATTCAATGATCTAGCAAAGATCATACTCACCATACTCAAGAGTGCATGTGCAGCTGTTGCAAAACTGTTGTATACATGTCGTAAACAACGATTTTACTTTCGTAGGCTACTAACGTTTCAACATTCGCCATTAAGGTTTGGGTATCTTGTCTCACGGTCACGGTATGCCGTTATCAAGTTTTTTTTACCAAGAGATTAGCAACAACTAGTGACTAAAAGTGTATTTTGTTTTACATAGTTTAAGACTCCGTATAGTATATAAAAGTTGTTTTTGGCATAGGACTGGTAGTGTAGAAAGAATGCACTGTCTTTACTTTGACATTGTTGCTGAAGTATATCATACCGTAAGGCATAACACATAATAATACAGATGACTGCACAGAGTACAGGTTACTGTTTTTTAAGGTTAAAGGTCTGGTACTTAGCAGATGAAACAGGGCCTTCGGTGATTATAACTACTTCACAGTCCATTTAGAACCTACTTCACAAAGTCTCCTCCCTTTTCAGAACTGGAACTGTGTTCGATCGTGTTTTTGTGATTTTTGTAGCCAAAAAACACACCACCCTTCGCTGCACCTCTTACACTGAGGCCAAGAAAAGTACTTCCAGGCCGAAAAAGATACGGTAACCGTAAATCCTTGTCTACAATACTGCCATAAAATTGGAAAAAATGTCCGTACGACAAATATGACCACCCTTCGCAGCGCCTGTTACCGAGTCTACAGGAAATATCTGTAGACCGAAAAGGTTGATCAGAATCATTGTCAACAGTCGCAGTGCCGTCAGCTCAAAACCTTGCGACGTGGAAGTATACAAGTGTTACAACAGTGTGACCATTCTAAAACACACCATTGTAATATTTAAGAAACGACACCCTACATCGAAAAACTTGAATAATAGCACGGACTAGAAGACATGCCAATTCTGAGAGTTAGTGTTCACCCTTGTTACGTGCAGGGTTACGTGTAAGCTGGGAACGCAGACACCAGCTCAACGGGTTTTCGGGCATATATACGCAGCACAGCACAG